CGGCGAAGAGATTTTTCTTTGCATGAGTACGAGACTGGAGACGATGAGCTAGTTCAGTGGAGAACGGGCGGGAGAAAAGAGAGAAAACACTCAGGAAAAGTGGACTCGACGTTGGTCGGTGGATCAGGTATGATGGAGCAGAAGAAGAAAAAAACGCTCGGATGGGAAGGGAAGCGAAAGGATTCCCGTCAAAGGCTTGAGTCGTTGACGAGGGGTGCTCATTGGCTCACCGCAGACCGGGCTCCCGGGTGGATCGGCCGGAGCATTTCGGTCACCAGAGCCCATCCCGGAACAGTTTCCAAAAAGGCAACATGTTTGCGCGCGAGGGGCGAAGCGAAGCGCCTTTGTCAGATACGTCGCCAAATCCCGTCAATTCCAGTCAAACAGAATTGTGCGATTGTGATTCAATGTCCGAGTGGACCGCCATCCACTCCGCAAAACCCATCAGAGAGGGTTGCATTCGCAATGTCGATCAGATTCCGGAGAGATGGAGGCCCGTCTTGTGCCAACCTTCTCTTTTTCGTCGCGTCCTTGTTCGAATCGACCACACCCACACAGCAGCGATTTACGCTTTTTGCACGCAAAGAGACGAGACGACCGCAACGTACATGGCGTATTACCCGCATGCGCCCGAGCATTGACCAACACACGAAACATGTTTCTGTGGACGGGCAACCCATGAAACGATAAACCCCTATAATTGGCATCATAGCGCCAAGATATCTCGTGTCATACCTATCGGATCGCGGTGTTGTTGATGTCACTGGGGCCAATACGGACCCGATTCCGAGAAAACTGCGAACAGATTCACCAAACACATGACCGTTGAGAAAGAAATCGTCTGACGCTTGAATTGCTCGTCGTGGCTATGTACTTCCGCGCTCCGGTCTCAACTACCCCTGAACCCTTCGTACAGCGCCGGTCCAAGCCAAATGGCTGGAGAACCCCTTAGGACCGGACGTCCTGTGTAGAATAAGCTTTTTTTGTCATATCGTTACAGATCCAGTAGTCCGTAGACTATCCTGGTACTCTGCTTTCCGTAGCCCTCGTGAATCAAGCAACCGGCACCAGTGCCGGCGACCCTTCCATTACGCCTCCAAAACCGCAAAAAGCAGAGAGCTTAGTTGGGCTTGGCGACGGGGAGCGCAGGAGCGACAGGAGCCGGGGCAACGGCGGCGGGAGCAGCAGCAGCGGGCTTCGCGGCAGCGGCAGGGGGAGCGGCAGGAGGAGCAGCAGGGGGAGCGGCGGCCGGGGCGGCGGGAGGAGGAGCACCAGCAGCACCACCGGCGGGAGCAGCAGCGGGAGGGTTGGTTCCCTTGCCCTTGGCCGCAGCACCGCCAGCCGGCGCGGCGGCGGGGGGAGCAGCGCCCTTACCCTTGCCGGCAGCACCAGCAGCGGGAGCGGCGCCCTTGCCCTTGGCAGCACCGGCAGCAGGAGTAGCCTTGCCCTTGGCCTTCGCGGCGCCGGCGTTGGCCTTGGCGGCCTTCTTCGCCTTCTTAGCCTTCTTCGCCTTCTTGCCCTTCTTTCCCTTCTTGCCCTTCTTCTTCTTAAGCAGCTGGCGGGCGCGGACGGGGACGGCCTCCTCCTCGTCCTGAACGTCGGCGATCACACCGCTGGTGGTCTCAACTCCGTTGAAGGAGGGGACGGAAACCCCGCGGGGCTCCTGGTCGCGCTCCTGCAACTGCTGATCATAGTTGGTGAAACTGCGGTGTGCGTTAGTGATGGTCCTTTGAGATGCTGCAACTGTGACTTACGTGACAGCCCTGCTATCAACATCGGCGGGAGCACTGCTGACGCTAACGAGTGTCGAGGCGAGGAAGAGGGAGAATGTGAGGAACTTCATTTTGTTGGACTGAAGTGAACCGAAGTTATTGATGAATTAGATAATCGAACCCGGTCGATTTAATGAACTGATATTGGTTGTAAGGGAATGTATGTGTTAAATCTGGTATTGTGAGGCCTGCCGTCGAATCAATCCAGGAACTGCCAAGAGAGAGGATGGGTTGAAGCCTTTATGTACTCACTCGCCTCTCGTCCCAAACAAGGACCTGAACAAGACTGAGAGTGGCGTGAAGCGGAACATGTCGAGAGAGGGTGACCGAGAGCCTGAAACCCCCAAGCCCAGGGGCAGACAGATGTCAATGTCCAGGCGCGATGTGCTGAGCCACTCCAAGGATTCGCGTGAACAGACCGGATTGTGTAGATGCATCTGCTGCTGCTGCCTCTCTCATCGCATCATTCAGAATAGCAACACCGTTGAGTCAGGCCAACCGCAGAGTCGTGTTTCGGAACTCGGTCCATCGTCGTCCAAAGTCCCTTACATCCAGACCTTCAAAGGGGCAAGGTGCTCGAAGCAACCGAAACTCTAATCCTTCGTCCGATGTCGCCAGTCTCCCTCACCCTATCTCTCCTTTTTCTTTTTTCCCTCCTCGCGTATCATGCTCTGCAGACGAGAAGAGACCCCCACAGCGCCAGCTAAGGTTATTCATGCTTGATTCGAATGCGCTCTCATCTGTATGGCCGCCCCTGGCCTGGTCTCAGCGACCAAGCAGGAGGAACGGGAGCCCACACGCTGGTATAACCACAGCCGCGGGTGATCGGCCCTTGTCTGGCTCGTGCCTTTTTGCAAGATCCCCCCTTGCTGTCCTCACCACGTTTGAGGCAGTAAGCTTTCTGGCCCGAAGGCGTCGGGGCCACAAGCTGCAAAACATCTTGCAAGGAGGCGAGAAAAGTCAAACCGCCTCAAACCACCTCGCCTCGTCCGACCTGGCTTCGCTTTCTGCCCAGAGCCATTCGTTGCATTGCCATCTACGACTCGACACCGAGAACGAAGACTTTCGATAGGCTGGAAGTTCAGCCGTTCCCTTGGAGGATTACGCACATTGTAACTTCTGTCAAGAACCGTTTATCTTCCCAGTTTACAAATGACCAGGACATGGTGATGTCAAGTAAGCATACCTGCCTAAGCATACTTGCCTAAGCATACTTGCCCATGACGCTAGCGTCCGGCCCCCAATGGAGCTCGATCCAATTCCGGATCTCTTCGTCGCCGAGTAAAGCTCGATGAAAATTTGCATATTCGCGATGCAAAGGATCAAAAGACTGACGCGTCGCGGGTAGAAAGTGCCGGTCCAGGTTGATCGCCGCTGTCAATCAAGCTTTCGTGACACTGGAAGGCTTAGGTTTGGGAAGCAGGCGGTACTCCTCAGTAGCAGAATGCGCCACAAAACCTGCCGGAAAACCGAGCCATTGGGAGCGCCATCAACTGCCTCGAACTGCTAGTGGATTCTGTCTGGCGAGCTCTCACGCGATCCATAGGTTCCGCCCCCGCGGGGAAGAAAAGGGGACCCAGTCTGCTGGTGTTCAGACCCCCCCCTGGTCCAGTATCAGAACGCGGTAGTGTGTAGGAAAGACCCGGCTGCGAGTCTGCCTGCATGCAGCCGCAAGGCCCTCGCTGGCCGAAAAAGCCTGGACCGCACCACGCAGAACCTGAGAAACGGGCTGTGTCGCCACGGGCTTCACATGATGTCGACGTTGAGGTGCAACGGCGGTGGCCGAGTGACCCAGGGTGACGCCTTGTACAGAAAGGGACGTCTGCCCCTTCTCGTGATATTTGCAGATCCTTTGTTCCAAGAGGGATCCCACGCCCGTTTGCAGCGGTTGCATGTTGGTTACATGTCTTGGCAACCCCAGATTCGCGAGCCTACTGGATCTCCAAGATCGGCTTGGGTGATTTGGAAGAAAATCTTTGCGATTCGAGACACAGGCCAGGCGGTGGCCTGTCGATGTATTTCGGGAAGTTTGAGCCGTGGTGGTTTGGAGACAAGTTTTGCCGGAGTCGCTAAAGCGCATCGCGAAGAACGTCGCAGCCGGGTTTCCACATTATGATCGCCTGCTCTCCCGCGGCGGAGACGAACAGTTGCCTCGTTGAGGTCCGGTTTGGAATACCTGCTTCATCTGGAGATGGTGACAGTCCTTCTGACATTGCCGATGGGAGCAATTGTTCTGCGGATGATGGCTGCCGTTCGCTAGCGACGGCCTATTTTTGAGACGGCGACTTTTTTTTTTTCTTGGTTGTGGACGCTGCTGTCGTCTGGACGGACCTTCAAACATTGATCGCGCTATCGCAAGAATTACCAAACGGGAAATGTCCAAGTCACCTGACTGGTGTAAGAGAAGCTGTGGCCTGAGGAACCATCCGGAATCTGTCGACGTGAATCATCTCGTCGAGAAGCCCGCGCGTCCCAGGCGGTCGGTTCTGGCCGCATTAACGGTCGATCGTAAGCACCTTGTTGTTCGGGCGCAGATGAGGCAGCAATGCAAGAGCTGAGATCAGAGACGGGCACTGGCTGATGTCGCGGCGGGAGAGACGTGAAGTCGCAGATGACATGTAGTCACCACCCGCGTCCATGATGAAAAGACGTTGAGAGTCGCGCATCCCACGTAGCTTTTACGGGCAAGGCTGACAGGTGCATGAGCTGAGATAAGCTGGGGGAAGCGGTTCAGATGGATATAAAGAAGATTAAAGGCAAAAGAAACTCCCGTTAGTGCAGATAAATTCAGCAAGCATTTAGGTCAACTTTATTGCGCGCAGTGGGCGTCGATAGGCCCCGGGCGGGCGGGCGTACTAAGGTTGCAAAGTTAACCTTAGTTTTAGGGGCGTTCCGTGATGACGCCAGGCACCGGGGCGGCAGTCTGTCTTATCAGCCTTATCAGTGGATCTCATTTGTTTAGATGGATAGGAGTGCTTAGACAACTATCTCTTTCATCTACCCCATTAAGCAGTGTCTAACTCGCATAATGTACCGCTATGCATCAATCGAGCGTTCCCCTCCTGTATGTCAGTGCATTGCAGCTCCGGCGCGGTTCTTCAACAATGTCACACCCCCCGACCGCCTCCGATCTTTCTTCACCACCACGCCGCATCCGCCCGCCACCCACCACCCACCACCTCTGAGGCAGTCAAGTCAGATTGCGCGTGCGCGTGCGTGTACGTCACAATGCCCGGCGACGAAGGAGCGGCACCCGCAGCCACGGCCGTATCTTCAACAGCGGGAGAGCAGTCTGCAGCATCAGCAGCAGCCACCACCACCACCACCACACCGCCGCCCGACGCCAAGATCAACGCCAAAGATGGCCGTTCCTACTGGCAGGGCATCGATGCCGACGTGAACGGCATGCTGGGTGGTTTCCCCTACATCAGCAAGGTCGACCTGCAGGGCTCGCGCAACTTTCTGGCCAAGCTGGGCATCGGCACGAAAAGCGGTCTGCGGACGGTGAGCCGCGCTCTGGAAGGCGGGGCCGGGTGAGTTTTTCTCTCTCTTCGCTTTCTCTCTTGTCATTGTTCTCAGGCCCGAGGGTTTCGTCAATCCGGTACCCGTTACATTCAAGTGTCATGTATCCGGCGGAAGGTTGATGGCTGGTTTGGTCCTGGTTGCTCCCATCTCACATCACCAACACCACCACCACCACCACCGACATACATGGACCCCCGTCGTTTTTTCCCTTTTCACCGCCATATCGTCACTCAACTCTCTCACCGCCTCTCACGTCCTCTCAGTCCTACCCCTTCTTTTCGCCATCCCATGCCCTTCACCTCTCCCCTAACCCACCGCAACAACGACACTGCAAGGCGGGCCGAGCTAATGATTTGCCTCGCCTGACCCCGTTGTTCTGCGCCCTGGGCCTTCTCCATTTTGCCTCCTCGTGTCGGAACCTCTCACCGGTACCTCTGACATACACCCCCTGCCCTTGTCTCCCCGACCCAAGTCTCCGTACCATGTCACGACCATCCCTGCTGACCCTCGAACCCCAGCATCGGCCGCATCACAGAGGGACTCATGCTTGATGTAGCTGAACAAGTCGACATTGTCGAACCCATCGCCAAGTTCACCGCCGCTCTTCAGGAGAAGTTGGGCGTCGGTTCTGTCTTCAACATTGGTCTCGAGGAGTGGAAGCCCCTCGACGGCACCGCTTACGACCTTGTCTGGAACCAATGGTGCGTCGGCCACCTGACCGACGAGCAGCTCGTTGCCTACCTGCGTCGTTGCAAGGAGGTCATTGCTCCCACCGACGGCGTGATCGTCGTCAAGGAGAACCTGAGCACTAGCGGTATTGACCTGTTCGACGATGTCGACAGCAGCGTGACAAGGTGAGTTAGCTTGCGCTATACCCGGCCCCGTTCATCCTTCCCGAGCTTTCGTCTCGTACACTCCATCACCAACCACCGCGGTGGCAAAATTTCTGCCGGAGCCCAACGCCGGCCAGGCCCTGTTTTCTCGTCTTCTTTCCTTGTTCCTTGCCCCCAATGGCCCGTGTATACGGATGCATGCAAGACACCTGCATAGACTGACGCAAGTGCAACAAACACATAGAGTGGATGAGAAGTTCCGCAGCCTCTTCGAGGAAGCGGGTCTCCGCCTAATCAGGACGGAGCTGCAGCGTGGCTTTCCCAAGGAACTGTTCCCGGTACGCATGTACGCACTGAAGTAGTGCAGACGACGGGGCAGAAACCAGCGGTGGCGGACAGAACAGGCGGGGGCCAGACACGACACCCGTGGCGGCGAAGGGCGGCGGCGGCGGCGGTAAGCGGCAAGCCAACCATGGATCCGGGGCTGATGCCCGGGAGACCAGGGGATTGGGGGGCCGGCCGGATGGACGACGATGGAGGAATGGTACGGGCTAGACTAGCCCCCAGGTGCAGAACCCCCCTAGGGCTAGGTCATCCCGCGTGCGTCCCGGCCTCTTCAGGCCCAGGCGAAGCCAGCATGGGATGGGATGACATGGCGGCTCGGGCTCCGATCTAACTGCACGATGCGGCAGGCCCCCGGTCGTTCGTTCGTGGGAACCACTTTAATTCTCCGATCTGGAAAAACCGGGGTGGACTCTTGTGAACAGCAGACGAGAGGTGAAAAAAGAGCACAAAAGTATGAGGTACAGGGTCGTGAGCGCGTGTCATGTACACATACAATCTGCCGTGGACGAGAGAGGCCTGCCACGTCGACTGCAGATGCAGATACGCGACGGACGGGCGTGTGGTCTGTATTGCGTGGGCGTGTGCAGCGTGTGGTTGGGGTTTTACTCGACCCTACCTCTCTACCTTGCTTGCCCCATCTAGCGATGTCGGACGTCACTAGCTGCGTCGTTCCCACGTCGTTTTCGCTGGCTGTCATACGTTCCCAGCGATGGGAAAGGGTATACACGAAGCTGTGACAATGTGCAGTAAATCTGACAGAAAAAACGTGTACATGTATTCTCTCGGAGGCATTAGGCATTGGTGCCCAAACTGCAAATCCACCTGGACGGTGTGAAAGTGAGGCGAGCCTCCTGCATGCTGCTTGCAGTCCTTTTTTAGTGTGATTATACGGGGTTTGTTGGGGGCCAACATGCAGCGCAGCAGAGCCAGCCGGCCAGCAAACCCTCGACTTACATGGCCACGAGTCAATAAAACACACGCAAAGACACGAAGCAGCTTTTCGAACCCGAGAAAAATTTATCGTGAAGCCGCAGGAAGCGCAGGAGGTTTTGTTGAGTATGCTGCTGGCTGCACCACGGATTGGTTCATGTGAATGTGCTCTGCGAAAGGTGTCGTCGCAGCGTCGTGTTGACGATTTTTGTCTGGACCGGGACTGGAACAGAAGAGGGGGGAGCCACTCAGAGACCACGACACGACTCGACACACAGTTTTTTTCTTTAGCAGCGGCGGAAAAATGGGAAGCCGCCGCACTGCAAAGCGCGGCAAGGACGGAAGAGGAGGCAAAAGGGGGGGGAGGGGATGGGGAGGAAAAGCCCAAAGAGCGGTGTCGTATGCTTCATTCTCGTCATTCATCACAAACCACGTTTCTACTATCGTGCTGTCAAGGACCCTGACAACCCGCCGGGTCACCTCATCCCTCGTCGAATCCATCAAAACTTTCTTTCCCTCCGGAGTTTCTGAGACACTTGACTCCATCGTGAACTTTCCACCCCCTCCCCTCGTAGTACTCCGTAGCGACCCTGCAAAAGGAGGCCCGTCATGCGGACATGCTGCCAGCTCAGAGCTTAAACTCAAAGAAATCGAGCCCCTTGACCCCGACGTCGACGCGGAACAGCGCGCCCCCGTTCTCGCCCTGCTCCTGCGTGGCCTCCTCCTCCTCGCCCAGCGAGGCCGTCGTGATGAAGAGCTCGGTGCCGACGAACTGCACGCAGGTGATGGCCTTGGTGGGCAGCAGGATCTCGCCGACGAGCGTGCCCTCGGGGGAGATCTTGAGCACGCGGCCCTCGCCGTAGACGGCGTGCCAGAGGTTGCCGGCCTCGTCGACGCGGAAGCCGTCGGGCTCGCCGGGGCCGTCGTGCGTGTAGAAGACGCGCTTGCGCGAGAGCGCGCCGTCCGCGGGGGCGTAGTCCCACGCGTACACCTTGCGCTCGGTGGAGTGCGTGAAGTACATGGTCGTGTTGTCCGGGGACCAGCCCACGGAGTTGGGGATCATGAGGCCCTTGACGACGTCCTCCTTGCCCGACGTGCCGTCGAGGCGGTGCAGGGCGCCTTTTGGGTGCAGTCAGTATCGTGAGTTGGCTTCAGAGCTGCTGTGTGTTTGTCCTTTGGGGGGGCTTGAGGAGTATATGCGGTGAAGAAGTGCGTTGTCACGACAACGGGCGGCACGCCTGAACATGGGTCGTGACGTCCGTCAGACCGCTTCAACTGCCTTCCTCTCTGCTGCTGGCTGCTGCGACATACCTTCAATCTGAAAATCGCCCAACCCGAAATCCGTCATGGTACCGAGCCAGAAGCGGCCGTGAGGATCGACGGCGCCGTCGTTGGCCCTCAGCCGCTCGTTGCGCTGCTCGTTGAGCGGCTTGCCGACGTACTCGTACCTGCCCGTCTGCAGGTCGAGGACGGCGATGCCATACTTGAGGCCGACCAGGATGCGGTCCTTGGGGTCGACGCCCTCGATGTCGGCCGTGACGCCGACGGGGACGTCGAGCTGTAGCGTGCGCAGGGACGCGGGGCCCCGGGCGAGGTCGATGATGTGGACCTGCTTCTTCTTGATGTCGACGAAGCGCAGGAGGTTGTTCTTCTTGTCGTGGTACGGCCCCTCACCCAGCGCGCAGTGGATGTTGAGGTAAGGCTTGTCGGCCTTCCACTGTTGAAGGGATGATGCCATGACTGCTACGTGCTGCGGGAGGTGTGGAATGATTGCGCGGCCCTTTCCGTCCGATTACGTTTTTGACGTGACGGAGAAGAATCTCAGAGTTTCCTGTCGACCCAAAGGTTGATGAGGGATTTCGCGATGAGGAGAGACGTTGGTTATTCCTTGCAGAATTGACCCGGGATGTCCTCTGCATGCGGCGCGTTGCTTGCTGCCACTGTGTTGTCAACCCCCAGAATTATCCGAAGGAAACCCGACAACGAGTGGTTCCGCTTTCTTTAGTTGCACTTGGAACAGAGAGTTGTAGTTTGCTGGTGACGGACGTCAGAAAGTTGTCATTAAAAGAGATAATGATACAAAATCCGGAATGAGGACAGGATATACTGTTGGCTCTTTTTCTGAACCCCTCCTCCCCGAACCGAACCGAAGCCCTTATCCACCTTGCAATCTGGCCCTTTTGCGACGAAGCATCTCGTTCCGAAAACACGGAGGTATCGCGCGTGCAACCCAACTCGTTGCGTGAAGCCGACGGAAGGCGGGCCGCTTAGCCTCATATGCCGCCGGCTTCAGCGGTGCAACAGGACACAAGATCAACGACGTGGAAGGCTTCTTCTAATGTCGTCGACTGCGGTTGCGATATGCGACTCCATGTAAGAGAATGAACCGTACTGATTCGCGATCAGCCCGGCATTTGGGGGGATGATGGAAATCGTGTGCAAGGGGAAAAAGCAATGAGAAAACCAGTAGAGTGAAATAAACACCAGCAGATCTCGCCCGAAAATCTCCTGATGGGCGTCCGCCAAGCGTCCGAGCAAACGGCTGTCTGGAAGCGCTCGGCGGCTAGGAAAAGCGCAGCCGCTCCCTGAGAAAGGCTAGCTCGCCCATCGATGCTGGTGACTACTCAGAGCAAAGTGCATGTGTGGTCTTGTGACGAGAACATGCCCGACAGGAGCTGCTTCCGGGGGGTTGGGAGCAAGTCCGGAACCCGGGGAACGTTGGGCGCGTGTTCCGGGACGGCGGTGTGGACCGAAGGGAAACAATGTTCAGATCGCCCGCGAAGTTGCGTGTGTCCGGGGGGTAGGAGGGGATGCCAGCACGCCTCTCCCGTCCGGGTTGCGACACGAACGATGGTCAGTACTCAGCGACTCGACTCAGGACGGCGCACCGCCTTAAGAGTTACGCAGCCAAAAAGTCTGGTGGACATTTGGGGGCGATGTCGAAGTCAACCCCTGGTTCCGACTGGCTCACCAGATTCCCAATCTTAACGGTCCCATCCTGCGAACCCTCCGTTTCACGTGCCGAACCCTCGCTGCGGGTGATGGTCGACTGTCTTTGATCTGTCGAGCACCCCGAAGAGCTTCTGTTGCGAGATTGAGCAGGGTCAAAGCAGAAACGACAACAGCAGCAACAATGTAAGATTGAATCAAACATTGTTTGCTGCGCCCTTGATACAGACGAACCGATCAAGGCCCCCAAAACGGGGTGGATATCTCCAGGTTTGTGTTGCAATACAGGGCTTCTCAGGCTGATGGCCCAGTCCAGTCCAGTCCAGGCAGGCTATGCAACCCCGATCGAACTGTTCCATCACCAAGGGGGGAGGGGGATCAGACACATGATCGCCCACAAGCCGTGGAGGGAAGGTCTGCAAATTTCCCGAACGAGGAGGGGTTGCAGCGAGGCTCGTCCGTAGCTTGCCCATGAATCGTGTAGTGTAGCTCAGGTGCCGATGCGGGTCAAGCGGGCTGGCTGGGCTGTCTTTTTGTCACTTTTACAGAGTGCTGTGAGTACACACGAGCTGTACAGACGGGTTAGCATGTAGCATTGAACTGATGGATGAACAGGAACCAACGAAAGGGGGTTCCAACGTGCTTCAAACAGCCTTCCGGCACGTGGTATCGGCCGTTGGCGCTATCCTCTCTCGTATTGTAAGCCTCACCGGTTGACAATGACAAGTGACGTTGGAGAGAGAGCTCACTCATGAAGCAGGCAAGCAGTCAGCGGTTGGGCGCGTATGCTGCTGCTGCCGG